ATTCTTAATGGAAACCAAGGTCACAAGAGAAGCGGTTAAAAAAATTAACCCTCGCAGTGGTGCTATCCCCACACTGCAAGGGTTAACTGATCATTTTGAGAAGAAATACTCGCCTGATCCTCAGTCCCGCTTGGCTGCTAGACTGGTCCTCTTAGCCTCTTCACCCCCGGGCTCTGCGGTCTAAGGACCCATGATGTGATTATGTCTAGGGACATAATGAGTGAGTACCGTATATCTTCTTTATTTTCTAACCCTGGAGGAAAACAAGCAGTAGCCCCACTGCAAGGGTTCATTTTTCAAAATCCAGGAGTTATTCTGTAAAGCACAACCCTAACATTATGTCATACCCACTGTTAGCCAGCTTTTAAATGACAGAACTTCTACCACTCAGCAGGATTATAGCATTTAAAGGCTGAATTGCTGGGGAATTTGCTCAGTGCCAAGAAGGAGCAGGGCTTAATCTTTGACTTGAGCAAAAGCTAAGCCCATGTTTACAGCCCAGGTGTAAAATCCAAGGGCCTCTACACTTACACAGGGGTCAGTTTAAAGACTACGGCAGGTACTGGTACTGCTTAGAGTTTATCATTATTGCTTATGCAAAAGTCTGTCCAAGGTGATCAGTGGAACAAAACAGAAAATGGAGTTTAAAACATTGAGAGGGGAATTTATCAAAACTGGAGCAGACAAAATGTGGAGCAGCAGTGCATGTGCATGGCAACCAATCAGCTTCTAGCTTTCGTTTTCAAATCCTAACTGAACAAACTGAAGAGGGAAGCTAATTGGTTGCCATGGGCAACTGATCCGGATTCTGTCTGCTCCAGTTTTGATAAATCTTCCCCTTTGTGTTTGCACGTGTTAAGTTTTAAATTCCATAGGATATCAGCGGGAGCCTCTGTCGTCTGTAACTTGGGAATAACTGTCTGATTACATTGTAGCCCTACCTAAATAATAGCAACATCATCTAGATCTATTTACAGTCATAATCTAATGCCACTATCTTTCAATAAGTGTGTATATGTAACTTTTGTTAACTTACATAGTTACATAGTATTTGAGGTTGAATAAAGACATATGTCCATCAAGTCCGATTGATAAACTGTCCTACGCTGCTAACTGTATTCATGTTTACTTATAGCATGCTATTGTTCTTTTTTTTCTATTACAAATATAAGTAACATACCTGAAAACACTCAGAATTATTTGCATAAAATGGTGAACATGACCTTTACAGTACCCTATTAAACACAGATACTTCTGTATAATTTTTGGTATGCTGATCAAATATCTGTGCCCACCCCTCACATATGGATTTCATGGTAGAATATTGTGCATATGTGCTAATCATTCGTTATCCTGAGAGCCTAAATATGAACCAGTTCTTTATCTCTAAACAATTTAACCCCAATTGCTAAGGTTCCTAGGCCTCATTTACACAAGGCTCTAAGTTCTGCTGTGAATAAGTGCGGCAAGAATCTGTGGAATCTTGCAGCAGGAATCAAACGTGGTTCCAGACAGCTGTAGTCCAGCTCAGGAATGGCAGGCCGACAGCAGCCGCAGCAAGCTGCTTGCATCCAGCGACAATCATCCAGGGGTGTTCAACACTGTCAGCCTGTCTTTGTTTTGTAAAGGCTGAGCGGTGGCTGCTGTCCGGGGCCACCTTCTGAAGGGTGGCTACTTTTGTTCCCCATGGTCCCTGTGTGTGTTGTAATGTAGCCACCACTCTAAGCTCACTCCTGTGGTGTACTACAATCTCAATACAAAGTAGTAAACTAAACGTGCTCCAAGATCGGAGCGATCTTGGAGCGGTGGCTACTTTACAACACACACAGGGACCATGGAAAACAAAAGTAGTCACCCTCCAGAAGGAAGGACAGTGTCAGCACAAATTCAGAGATGATTTGAGGATCTACAGATGAGTGATACACAAATAAGATACATTTATGTTATTAGTTAGGGTACTGGAATGCATTTTTGAGATTTATCTTCTGAATGTTGGGTCACTAATGCATGCAAATATATTGTATGGCAATAAATGGTCAAAAACATAACGTGAAGTAGGGGTCATTTGCAATCTCTCTGAATGGAACTAAATTTTAAGTAAACATACACCGAGAAGTTAACTTTAAACTGCATTAACATTCTTGCTCAAGAGTAGCAAAGGGGCTGAAATACTTACCTTTACTGGACCGAAGAAAATGTTGCTTTAGTAATGTTCAGCATTAGTCTTGTGATCTATGTTAAAGGGAGGATCAGCGTTTAGGTTGGCGGAATGTTTAGGCTTTTGTCTACATATCCAGCACTCATGCAACAATGTACTTTGATCAGCAGAGTTCATAAAATAGTTTAGTGCACATTCTTTGTATACACTCATTTTAAAGTGCTTGTGGCTGGTAAACAGATATTCAGAAAGTTTACTGTCTGACTAGTTTCACTTGTCAGAAAACAATGTTCTGTTTCTCTCTTAAGTAAGTAGTAGGGATCAGTGCCAGTTAGTACAAGACACACTGTAAGGCATCTTCCTTCTCCACTTAAATGTTCTTAGTATGTGTCATAAAATAGATCATAACCATAGCTTCACTGAACTGTTACACATCTGTCCAACTTAGCAGTAACACATCATGTTAATATGGAGATCATAATTTGACAGCAAAATTTATCAGAACATGTAATCTGTCATTGTATCAAAATGCAATGTTTAAAGCTGCCCATACACCTTACAATTATCTGCAGATTTCTATGGTCAGATGGAAAATATGCAACAGATTCCTCCATCTACACTTAACTGTGTGGATGGAGTAATCTCCACCTGAGCCAATCTATTGCACTTTTTCCATCTGACCACAGAAAATCTGCAGATAACTGTAAGGTGTATGGGCACCTTTAGGCTCAATATTTACTACACACTTATTATTTGGAGTTTTCCACTGAGAGTCACGGATCATTAGATCACATGTGTGCGGATGGTGTAAGCTATAGTATGGGGGATCATAAGTCTGAGGGTGACATAGTTGTTAAGGTTGAATAAAAGACACAGGTCCATCCAGTTCAACGTATGTGTGTGTGTTTGTATGTATGAGTAACTAAGAGTACCCCTGTATATTGTGTTCACTGAGGAAAGCATCGTAAAGTTTCTTGAATGACTCTATACTTTCAGCTGATACCACTACCTGGGGAAGGGAGTTCCACGATTTTACCGCTCTTAACAGTAAAGAATCCCCTTCATGTTTTAAGGTTAAACCTTTTTTCTTTTAATTTTAGGTGGTGGCCTCTTGTCTTCTTAAGTGTACTTACAGTAAACACTTTATTAATCTTTGCTCATAGTTTAGGTCCTCCAACCCCCTTTATTGAACCGCATACTAAAGATGAGGTCATACCAGTTATAGAGAAGTAGAATTATGGATTTTTCGTTGGAGTAAATAACCTTTTTAATGCATGTTAGTAGCCAGCTGGCCATATTTGCCGCAGCCTGGCATTGCATACTACTACAAAGTCTGCAGTGTACAAGGACCCCCTAATCTTTTTCCATTTCTGATTTTCGTCGAAGTTCCCCCAAATGAGCAGCTTGCATGGATAGTTTGAACACCCAAATGTATAACCTTACATTTTTCAATAATAAACCTCATCTGCTATGTAGTTGCCCCCCCCCCCCCCC